CATGTAGGTTGCAAGCATTTCTGGATAGTTTGAGTGCTAGTATAGCCATGTTTGATATGTGTTTTGCACCTTCAAAGTGTAAAATGTTACTTCTAGACTGGGTTGATCCAGCACCCAGGCTCATTCTAACTGGGGAAGTAATAGAGCAGGTGGATAAGTTTTGTTATTTGGTCAGCTACATCTCACCCGGTGGACGCATCACAGATAAAGTGTATGCGAGCATACAGAAGGCTCGGTTGGCGTTTGCCAACTTGANATGAAGCAGAAACTTGGCCATTAAGAAAACAGGATAAAGATAGACTGTCGATGTTTGAACACCTTTGTCTACACAGCATTGCACGAATCTGGCGAGGCAGACGGACGAGCAATGCTGAGGTTAGGCGTAGAGTTTTAGGCAATCGCGGTCGCCCACTGGAGCAAGTGATCGACCTCCATAGATTACGTTGGCTGGGACATGTGTTACGCATGTCACCAGACTGGTTGCCACGGCGAGCGATGTTCGCCGAGGCAAGTAGTGGGTGGAAAAAGTCAAGGGTGGTCAAGCTAAGACCTGGCATGAGGGTATGAGAGGTTTGAAATTCCTGACCAGGGGACTGGGTCATGTAGTTTCTGTTAGGCTCCCTGGCTGGGACCTCGGGACCACTGTAATCAATGACTACAGACACTGCGTGATATGGCTGGGTGTCGTAAACAGTGGCGTTCGTGCATCTTCTCAATCTCTTTACAGCCTTAAACCACTGAAATTCTCCATTTTCTGTTCGACTCCACTTTCAACTTTCCTGTTTTCTATTCATTAAAATGGGCAGCCAAAAGATAGCAACCAAAACCGGCGCACGAAAGTGCATGGTAATGGTTATATAAACTGAACTAAACTGTTAATGAAGTGGAAAAAGTATGGAATTTCTCCTTTGCAGGAGTACATGAGCATACTGTGTTCACTCTACTCGCACACTTCAGGTGGCCTCAGAGTCCACGGCGAGCTGTGTAGGCCGCTCGTAACTACCAGCGGTGTTCATCAAAGGTGCCTTATTTCACCGTTCCTGTTCAATTTCTTCATAGCCGAAATCCCAGAGAACGCACCAAGTAGTCTCCAAAATGTAGATATTGAATGGGCAGTTTGGGAAAAGCTGTGCGACTCAGAGTATGTTGATGACATCGTTTGCCGGTTCAAATGAATGGCGGGTGCACAAAACGCACTTAAGAAACTAGCAAGTTCTGTCCCCCCCCGTTCCGCATGCGATTTGTGCCTCTAAAGTGCAGGAATTAGCGGAAGTAGACTGCTTCTCGTTTAGGTAATTCCGTGATCAACGACGGTAGCACATCAAAGATAATCGCCCACATTCTCTAGGGTCGAGCAGCGTAGGCCGTACCGAAACATCTTTGGCAACAGCGTAACATCTTACTGAAGTTGAAAAGTTGTGTATACTGCTCCACTATACGATTAGTTCTGCTTTACAGTCGAGACCTTGAATTCGCATTTAGAAGACATCTGTCGCCTATTGGTTTTCGACAATCGACGCTTACGTAGTCTGACCCAGGCGGGATGGCTTGAGCGGGTTAGTAACCTAGTTGTAAGTCGTCAGGTGCTTGGGGGTGTATCGAACACGAACTTGTGATCACATCGAATTCAGCTCAGTAGTGTCCGTTGGTTAGGACACGTTTTGCGTATGTCTGACGGTTGCCTACCGCACAGCGCCCTATTTGCTTGCAGTGGACACTACAGACTGGAGGAAGCCCCGTGGAGGTCAACAGATTTTTGGAGATGAGGTATGGAAAAATATACAGTGATTAGATGGATTAGTTGTCTCTCGTCTTCCGGGTTGAGGTTAAAAAGACTCCGTAGTTGGATGGTTGGAGACACTGAAGATCATGCCAGTAAACCGATAACAGTGGCGATCTTGTTGTCACTTCTTACCAGACCAGAATGTTTGATATGTTGCGTATGCACAGTTGGATTGTGTACTCTCCGTGTTGATCATAGAGGTTCGCTCCCTTTGCCCGTCCATAAAAATAGGCCCAGTCCCTATCCTCCTAACACATTCTCACTTGCCTTGTGTGCCTTATGAGTTTGTAAGTGATCAGTAAAGTTTGCTTCTCTGTATTACGCTGTACGATGGTGATGATGATGGTGAAGGTAGTGAGCAGGGCTTTCTCAGCAGTCGCTTGGTCATATAGCAGCATGTCGTGAGGAGTATGGGTTTGGTGACCAGCCACAAACCGAGACTTTCACCTCAAACCATATTGAGGCTTTCGGGTCCAGATATAAGAATTCAGTCCTCTACTTACTTGGATGCATCAGATTAAATGGAAAACCCTGCATTGGCAGTAGTGTTATCGCGGGACAGTGGTTCGAAGTGTAGCATTATCAGCACATTCTATGTTTTTGTCTCGTCATATTGGCTTGTTTATCTTGTCCAACCGTTTGTTTCAGTGTTCTCACGGGAAGTTACGATCAAACTGTTCAAGTTTGGGATGTGAGCAACTCGTCCTGTGTGTTTCGGATAGAGCTGGATGACAAAGTAAAAGCTGTAGAGTGGATTGATTTCGGTACGTTGTTCAGTTTGTTTTACATCGACAGTGAGATATCTACTTATATTTGTGCTGTCTTTTAAGATTACCATAGATAGATAGATAGATAGATAGATAGATAGATAGATAGATAGATAGGTAAGTAGATAGGTAGGTAGGTGGGTAGATAGGTCTATGTGGTCTATGTGGAGAATTTGATTGTAATTTGTTTTTTTGTTAACCAGTCATTATATCAGTCCAAGATTGATCGGATAACTTTACTTGATGGAAGAACTAAGTAGAACGCAAGTTTTGGACATTTCCTTGTTGATACTTACTTCATTAGATATTTCCATCTTCTAAAAAGCAATGGAACTATTAGATTCTGCCGTCTGAAATGCAAGCTTTTTACTCTCACAAGTTTCTCACTACCTGACAATAGAGTGCTATCCGGAATCTCATGTTTCGCGTAAATAATTACGATGATCCATCGGGCACTAGCGGTTGAAACATAATTTTAAACTCTGCTCTCGGTTGTCCTTTTTAACCATGAATATATTTTCCTTTTTATCTTACTACCCGGTTACCTGCTGGAACCAGATCTTGACGGAAAGGGTTCTGCAACATTCGTCACTGGCGGTTTCGATCAGTGCGCCTACCTGTGGACCTGGGATTCAAAATCCAATCAAGTGAAATGCGTGGCCGCTTGTCGAGGTCATTCCGAAACAGTAATGACTATTGCTTCTGCCCCGTCTGGTTACAAATTATCCACTCCTGTATTTGCCACTGGATCATGGGATGGAACAATCAAGATTTGGTCTTCAGGTGTGTTTTATTGAAGTGTTTTTGACATAGTATTTCACGTGGGTCACATTAGATTGCGGAAATAATCCATCTCAGAAAGGCGGTTGTCTTGTGTTTTTTGTGTAACAGATTTGTCTCGTTCACCGAAATCTCTTTAAGTTTCTTTTTTTATGTCAACGGTTAATAATAATGGTGACCGTAATCCTACGTCATGGTACAATTATGTGGGCTCAGCGGATCCACCTGAGTCGAACTACTCCCACGAAACAGAGGTCCTCACTTAGAATATACCCATAACATCGACCTATTGGGCGAAAATACAAGTAATCTAACATGCTTTAAATCGCTTGATAATCGAGGTATCCACATCTGGTATGTGCTTTGCACCATTCAAGTGCGAAGTGCTTGTACAAGACTGATAGGAACCTGTGCCTACACTCACCCCTTTCGATGATCAGATAGAAGTAGTCGAGAGCTTTGGGTACCTTGGGAGCTCAATCACAGCTGGTGTTGGTTTTGGAGAAGCCGTCACATCACGAATAATGAAAGCTAGAGCAGTTTTTTTCTAATCTGCGGCACATGTGGCGCCGCCACGACATCCGATTGTCCTATCGGTGGGCGTTGTTAACATAGGTTCTCACTATTTGGTGCCTCTTTAGGATGTCCCATACATTGGTGTCATTTCCAATCGTCCTTCCTCTCTGATTAGACGAAGTTCCGATTTACCTCGTCTTCTACATTGCCGTGTCGCAGTCGTTAAACTAAATAAAGTTTACTTTGTTAGTAATTTGAGTTTTAGTCCGGTTTTGCGTTATCCCTTTTAGTAACTGCAACCCATCTACAACGTGTTTCTTTTGTCAGTAACGGATTTTAATGTGTTCTGATCACACTATTGTGTAATAAACAGCAGAAGGGGTAAACCCCATGAACACGATTACATGTTGTTCACTCGTGGGAACCGGCAACAGAAGTCCCGGCACTTGATGTGGCGAATCGCATATGACTCAGTTGGTGGTGGTGCACTGGTTTAGTGGCTGTAACCAGCGTGCTTTGGACCTTATGGTCCCAGTTTCGAACCCCGCCACCGCCACCCAACTTTGGCGGTAGGCAGCTTTGTTGTTGTCCGGTTCAACACGACGTCTAACCTAGTGGAGCCTTATTTGTTTCGTCGCTCCAAGCCCCGGGGCTTCAGTAACTGGTTTCCATCACAGAAGACGGGGTGAACCCCGTCTTCTGTGCATCACACACAAAAGGTGTGTAATAAAAAAGCGAACATAGGTGTGGTTTAGACCCAGGCGACAGCTAAGCTGCCTACCGCCAAATTTGGGTGGCTATGACTGGGTTCGAACCTGGGACCATAGGGCTCAAAACACGCCAGTGACAGCGAATTAAACCGCTAGACCATCTTTTGTCATGTCTCACATTTGTGAGTAGATAATTGAAAATTTCTTTAGATTATCAAGTTTGGATTAGCCCATTGAATTGTTCAGAGGCACCAGGTACTATTGATGGTCTTGGGTGTCGGTTTCACTCCTTGGGAGATCGTTAAAGAGTACCTAGTGCCTCTGAATAATCGAATGCGCCAATCCAAACACGAGAATCTAAAAATTGAGCCATCCGCACAAAGCGATGACCATCGAGTAAGGGTTTGATTTCCCTACCCGAATGTTCGCGGTTCGAGTTTTGACAGGGACACCAAAAGTACACA